TCCTCCCTTGTAAGTGGTTCGGTCAGGTCTGATCAGCAGGCATAGACGGCTTTGACTGCTCGCGGTGCAGGAAGAGTTTGCTGCAGAATTGCAGCTCCTGGGACGGCAGCCGCTCTTGCAGGTGAGCCTCTGAGAGTTCACTTCCCTGGATGACACATTTTGTGGATTTGGTCCGTGTTGTGCCAGGATGGAGACCTTTGGATCAGCCGCGTGTCTGTGGGGCTCCTTGGCGCCGCCGCTCAGGCGCTGACGGAATCTCAACCCAGTGACGCTAGCAGATCGGAGAGAGTGGTGCCTGTCAGGCGGCATTTGGTTTCAGAGAGAAGCTGCAATCACCAGTGCCAGGCAGCAGTACTAGTCGAGAACGCCGTGGCTGTGCGGAATGTTCAGACTCTCAGTACGTCGCAGTTGGTTCGATTCCTTGCAGGTTTGGCTCGACATGCAGAAGTTTGCTGAAGCTGTGATTCACGCTCACCCCTGGTTTGCACATGATTGCCAAATTATCCAAATTGTTCTACATCCGCAAGAAATTCATGATAATACATGCTTCAAATTCAATTGCCAATTGGTCACTTGCCGTCGCAAGGTCTTGTCTCCTTTGGCAAGCCCTACCCTGTTCGTCAAGGATAAGACCACGGGCGAGGCTGCAAGTGCTGCTGCACATGCGCAGGAGCTGAGGTAGCTTGTGGATCTATCGCACTTCAGCTGAGCTTGATTGTTTGAGTAAGCTCGTCGGGAACACACCAAACTCAGGCTGTTGTTTCGATGTTCCTCGGATACTTGCCTTCGGTCAGTCTTGACCATGTCGGACGAACCGAGTCTTCGTGCAGTCACAGCTGTCTACATTGTGGAACAGATCCCAAATCGTAGCATATCGCATCGCAGCCAGGTCCTCTCGAGCATGACAGTCAGCGGTTGCATACCAACGCGAATCTCGGACGGCATTCAAGGGCAGTTGACATCATGCAAGTTCTGGGTCCCAGGCATCACCGAGCAGGAGTCTTGTATGCGGCAATGTGTTCTCTTCTCGCGATGTAGAGCATTTTGACAGCAAGATCTTCTGACGGCAAGCATCTGGTTGTGTTGCCGATTTCCCGGAGCCAGGACAGTACCTGGTGTACGAAGGCGGCGGCACAGCACAGCTGTTGGATGAGCAGCGCGTGTCTCTCAGAGATGAACAGAAGCGCTGGTTGCAGCCGGCAAAGGGACGTCGTAGCAATGTGAGCCCAGGCAAGCCTCAGGCTGAGCTGACCGTCTCCGGGGCCCTGATGCAAGCGCCGGGAGATTTCGTTGTGGGGGTGGAGGCGGACGCCCACCTTGCAAGTGACATCTCGCAGGATTCGGGGATGGTGGGGCCGCAGACAATCCTTGCCTGACCTTGCAGGCAGACTCCCAGGCAACCTGCGGGGCGGGTGGCGCTCCGCCTTGGCTGCGGGCAGTGTGGCGTAGCCTGGGCGAGGAGGTGCTCGCTGCAGATGAGAATGCAGCAGTTGCTGACATGGCTGAAGTTGTCATTGTTGTGCTTGTGACTGTGACCGCGACTTGACTGCAGCTGCCATTGCCACAGCTCCCGAGAGTTGCTGCATGCCTGGTGACCCGTTGCGACAGGCCATCTTTGGCGCAGGGACGACGGACCGGGCTTTGTTGTAGAGTTAATGAGTAGGTTTGTGAAAGGCTGGCAGAGTCAGCGTCAGCACCAGTGACAGCTGTCGTTGCATGCTGCAGCTGTGATGGCTCCGCTGTCCCAGCTCACTCCCCACCCGAAACTAACGCCAGCACGCCTTCCTTCTATACGTACCAGTCCTGGAGATCCGACGAAGCAATTCCAACATGTCAGGCACGTCCTGGTCCATCGAACAGCTTGAGGTCCTGTTGGCCTGTGGGTCCAACTGCTTTTCCTCAGTGGGCATGCTCCTCTTCAACAAGCTAGCAGTCCAGGCCTTCCCGCTCGAATGCTGTCTGGTGTGGTTCCAGCTCTTCTTCGCTGCAGCCTTCATGCTGATCTTCGCGTTCCCATACCTCCATGTTGGCTCTCTCAAAGACTTCGTGCGATGGTGCATCGTCGTGCCCTTCTACTGTGGCATGCTGTTGACATCCATCTTAGCATTGAAGAATGCCCCGATGTCACTGCTCATAGTCTTGCGGAATGCTTCGCCGCTAGCTTCCCTAGCAATCGAGCGCTTCTACCCGGAACCGCTACGCATCAGTCCATGGATGCTTGCGTCCATCTTCATGATGCTTGCAGGGGCGGTTATGTATGTCTCGGAGCTCCCAACAAAGCATTACCAGGGCATCGGATGGATCTTGTTGAACAGCTTCATTGCCGTGATGGATCGATGCCTGCAGCGCCTCCTCCTTAGCAAGGATCAGCAGCCCGTGGATATCTCGAAGGCTGGCATCACCTTGATCAACAACTTGATGGGCTTGGTTCCTGTCGGCATCGCGGCCTGGGCCAAGGGAGAACTTCGGGAGCTTCCGGGCACCTATGCCGCTCTCACTGCGACAGACAAGGTCTATATCGGCCTCAGCTGTGTGATCGGTCTTTCCATTTGCTACACGGGCATCTGGGCACAAAGCCTCATCAGTGCCACCAGCTTCCTCGTCATGGTCAATGCAAACAAGTTCGTGATTATTTGCATCGAAGCCTTCGGCATGCACACCAAGGCCTGTGGAAGAAGTCATCTGCGTGCCCCTCGTGAAGTCAGTCCTAGAAACGGCTTCTACCCCGAAATTCAACCACTCATCCTTGCATCTAAGCCAGCCGAACATAATTGGGCCCAACCCCCCCGCAGAAACAGTGAACTGAACTCACCCAAGAAGCAAAACATGTCTGATCAAGTTCGGCATGTTTGGAGAGGTTCTGACGCTGAATCAGTTCCTCGGCGCCTGTGTGTCAATCTTAGGTGGGCGGGGAACGGCCTTTCACAGCGCGTTAAGTTGGGTCCAGCAGACTCGTTCAACAGACTGCATGATGCTATCTAGTATAGTCGCTGGTCCAACGTATGTCTTGCTCTCTTCCCTGGGAGGTGGGATTTCATATGGAAAGGCTCGCTCGTATATTGAGCAAGAAGCCGAAGAGAGGAAGAAGTTGGTGCCAGCGAAAGTGTGAGCTCCGCCCAGCTGCCGCCAAAGCACCTTTCCTGCACAGCATCGGCAGAGACACGGAAAGCTTTAGAAGCCGCCTTTTGAAACATCGACTGCCTGGGAGACTGAGGTGCAAAGCTAGCAAGCTCTGCCGTCCGGTCGGATGACGGCGTAGTCTCAAGGGCCAAGTGACGGTGTTGTGACATTGTGCCTCATGTCAAAAGGCTGTGTGCTTTTTGTGTCACTGTCCGGTTGCGAGCTTCGACCAGCCCGAAGCCACGATCTTAGCATGTCCTCGAAAGGTAAGCCTGCCTTGAACTTAGGTAAGCCTGCCTTGAACTTCTCATAATGTAAGAGTGACACTAATAAACAGGGTGACAATTAAACTATTCCCCGGCCCAAACTTTCCGAGCAGAAGACTACTTTAAATTGCGGACCCAGATCGCGCCAAGCAACTGATGTCAGGAAAGCAAAAGCTAATGGGCCTCGAGACAGAGGCTTTGCTGTTCGAGAGCTGCAGGCTTTGCCCTGAGGCCAGGGACTCTGATTCCAGGATCTGCAGCAGCTATTCTTGAGGCCTCTGCCTGATTAAATTTCTATAAAAACGGAGCCACTTCGCAAAGCCGGCAAGGGTTATCCGTTACCTGCGGATCAATTAATAAATGGGGTGACCATAATAGGCGGAGGATCCTGGAAGCAAGGCTTTCTTCAAAAGACTAGTTAGAAAGCAACAGCTAATGGCCCTCGAGACAGCGGCTTTGCTGTTCGAGAGCTGCAGGGATTTTCAGGAACTGCTGCCGCTATTCTTCAGGCCTCTGCCTGATTAAATTTCTATAGAAACGGAGCCATTCCACAAAGCCGACAAGGGTATCCTTTTCGAGCCCCATGGGGTGACACTAATCAACTCCGCCGGGGCGGGGGGGTTCCTGGAAGCAAGGCTTTCTTCCGAAGACTCGTTAGAAAACAAAAGCTAATGGGCCTCGAGGCAGAGGCTTTGCTGTTCGAGAGCTGCAGGCTTTGGCCGGGAGCCAGGGACTTTGGTTCCCACGAACTGCAGCACGTATTCTTGAGGCCTCTGCCTGATTAAATTTTTATAAAACGGAGCCATTTCACAAAGCCGGCAAAGGTTATCCGTTACCTGCGGATCAAATAATAAATGGGGTGACCATAATAGGCGGAGGATCCTGGAAGCAAGGCTTTCTTCAAAAGACTAGTTAGAAAGCAACAGCTAATGGCCCTCGAGACAGAGGCTTTGCTGTTCGAGAGCTGCAGGGATTTCAGGAACTGCTGCCGCTATTCTTCAGGCCTCTGCCTGATTAAATTTCTATAGAAACGGAGCCATTCCACAAAGCCGACAAGGGTATCCTTTTCGAGCCCTATGGGGTGACACTAATCAACTCCGCCGGGGCGGGGGGTTCCTGGAAGCAAGGCTTTCTTCCGAAGACTCGTTAGAAAACAAAAGCTAATGGGCCTCGAGGCAGAGGCTTTGCTTTTCGAGAGCTGCAGGCTTTGGCCGGGAGCCAGGGACTTTGGTTCCCACGAACTGCAGCACGTATTCTTGAGGCCTCTGCCTGATTAAATTTTTATAAAACGGAGCCATTTCACAAAGCCGGCAAGGGTATCTCGTATTGCTACTATTAGTACTTTTACTAATTACGATTACTACTACTATTTCTACTAAGTAGTACTGCTGCTACTACGAACCCCAGACACGGCCAAAGGTTTATTCCCACCCCCCAACCCAAACCTTGCCCCAAGAGACCGCCGTGCAAAACAATCTCGGGGGGGGGGGCTCCTTAGGGCCTTAGGAACAAAGGCAGGCTTTCCGTCGGACGGTATCTTCATTCCGCACACTCGCCGCACTCGCTGCTGTAGCCTCTTTCAGTCAGGTTCCTACGTTTTAGCCGGTTCACGAAATGAAGGCGTTGCCGTCAGCGGTCCCGCCGGGCCGCCATGCGCGGATGGAAACCTTCCTCGCTTGTGCCTGCAACTGCTTCTCATCAGTAGGCATGCTTCTCTTCAACAAGCTGGCCATTGAAGCCTTCCCTTTGGAATGCTCTCTCGTGTGGCTACAACTTGTCTTTGCCACGGTCGCGTTACTTAGTCTTGCATGGCCTTCGATTCACATCGGCAGCTTCCGGGATTTGTGCAGATGGTGTCTGGTGGTTCCCTTCTACTGTGGAATGCTGATGACGTCCATCTTGGCACTCAAGAGCGCTCCTATGAGCGTCATCATCGTCGTGCGGAATGCATCACCGTTGATCTCGTTGGCCATCGAGCGGTTTTATCCCGAGCCTCTGAGGATCAGTGCTCCCATGCTCTTCAGCATCCTCATCATGCTCAGCGGTGCAGGTATGTATGTGTCCCAGCTCCCCCAACAGCACTTGCGAGGTGTTGGCTGGGTTCTTCTGAACAGTGTCGTGGCTGTGGGAGACCGGTTGCTGCAGCGCCTCCTCTTGTCCAAGCATCAGCAGCCAGTAGACATCTCAAAGACCGGCGTCATCCTCATCAACAACCTCTGTGGTCTTGTGCCGGTTGGTTTGCTCGTTTGGATACACCAGGAAGCCGCTCAGGTGCCGCGAGCCTATGCATCTCTGAGCTCCTGGGGTCTCCTCTACGTCTTCTTGTCATGCGTCATCGGACTGTCTCTTAGCTACACCGGCGTCTGGGCACAGAGCCTCATCAGCGCAACCAGCTTCCTCGTCATGGTCAATGCGAACAAGTTCCTGATCATTGTACTTGAAGCCTTTGGCCTTCATGCGATGGCTCTGAGTCCCCTGCAGGTGGCCGGGGCCAGCCTTACCATCCTCAGTGGTGTGATGTATAGCATGGAGCGTCAGGCCTTGGAGCAAGAGGCTGAGAACGGGCCTCTGTTGCCCTCCAGAAAGCTTTGAGATCAGGTGGGATTTGCGACCAGCTCGAGGACAAAAGAAATGAACAGTGGCATTCACTGCAGTGCCACTGCACAGAAAGTTGTCCCAAGTGCTCAGGGAGAGTAGCAACACATTTGGAAGTTGCTGTTCTGTGAGGACCCGACAGATGCAACACAGCACGGGACCTCAGCATGCCCGCGCTCCATGCATTGGCACAAGGGGTCGCATGAGCAAGATTGAAGGCAGCGGTTGAGGGGCTTCTCAGCCCCTGCCCATCCCAAGCCAGCTGTTCGATCTGTCAAATCTCGCGAACTTAGGCCCTCGACATCGAGCCATTTTGAGTTCACTTCGAAGGGAGCCGACATGCCCGAGTCCTTACTCGTGGGGGTGCAGTTCAAGGTGCCAGCTGTTGTTGGCCGTGTGCGGCCAGTGAGAGCCAGTGAGAGCATTCAGCCTACCTGGGCCTAGCCGCTCTGCAGTGCAGTTCACTCTGCTCGTGCAGGTGGAAGGTCTGGACTTCATCCAGCTTGTTGCAGACAGTGCCTTCCTTGAGCAGTTCAAGCAAGTCGTCAAAGGCCCTACAGTTCTTTTTGCTCCGATGAAGCATATAGAGCCTTGTCACGCAGTCTTTGCATCAGCAGACGCCGGTGCCGTGCTTGGTCTGTGCACGCCGCTCGCAGGCGCTCTGATTGCAGCTACTGCGCGGGCAGACCGACGAGCGGAGGCTTCTCCCTAACCACGGGCAAATGCCGTCTGTCAGAAACAGGGTTAAAAAGCAGGCATCTGCAGGCCAGCCTTAGCAGCCTTAGTGATGCCGTCATGCCTGGTGCAGGACCTGGTTCTTCAGCTCTCTCCTGGTTCGGTGGTGGCCGTTGCCCGAACTGGTCTCCACAGCTGCTTAGCAGTCGCGAAGATGAGAAGCCGAGGTTCAAGCACGAATGGCTGCAGTCGCCAGGGGAGGAGCTGAAGCCTCAGACCGGACGCGATGTGGTGGTGATGGGATTTTTGTTGTTCCAGGCTGTCGTGTGTTTGTTGGAACCCTTCGGATTCCCATCGAGCCTTAATCAAGCAGGTCTCTTGCATGTGCTGGCAAAGCTGGAAGTCTCACAGCCATGTACCTGATTCGGAGAATGTCTACCCCATCGCCCCCCTCGACGCACACGCAGCTATACGATACAGCAAAGCCCGCGTATATTGGCATATACATATGATGCACGCCGTCGTGGTTCAGTGATGCACATACCTCTCTCTATGTTATCTCTCCTAATCTTGTGAGTCTGTGCGTCATGTTTAGTTGCTGCACGTGCATATGTGGATGTGACTAGGTCGCCCATGTACCGCCATCATGTCGCCCAGCCGACCCCGAGGAAAGCGTCGCAGCTGCAATGACCATCCTTGCGGATGGAATGCGGCACGAGGTGCTATGGCTGTGTACGGCTTGAGTACAGCAAAGCATCGAAGCGTGCATCAGCAAGAGAGCAGCTTTCCGGTTTGCAGAGAACCGCAGAAAGTTGGAACATGGAGTTAGGACATCTTAAAGGCATGAGGATAGTGATGTTCCAACTTTCCGGCTTCGACTATATCATGATACCGCGTGGCTACCGATCAAGCCTGCAAAGGCAAGCGCACTCCAGCGAGACTTGATTGTCCGGCTTGCCGGCATACAAGGCGCGGCTTGCCAGATCGTCATAGATCGTCTTTTGGTTTCGGCAAGGCTTCGTGTGGACATGGGAAACCCCCAGCACTGGATTTTTTTGTCAGGTCTTTCGTCAGTGGCCTACAGCGCCATCTCAGTGGGACCAATCAGCGCAACCCTGCCAAAATAACATTTGTTATTGTCTTGCCTGACTGACTGAAGCTAGGCGGTGGGGCCCGGTGGGGTTTACACTTGTGACAAGCTTGAGGTCAGTCTTCTTGCCGTGGAGGTGTCGGCCGCATTCTGCCGGAGTTGCCGTTTCTACATCTACAGGCACCTTCCATGCTGAAAAGCTGTTTCCAGGCAACGCCACAGCCTGCTCACACGGTGCAGGACGCCACAGGGCCATGCCATACCATTACGACACTTTGGCGGAAGGGTTCGAAAGCAATACGCCATATGCAGGTCATGTTCACTTGGCTCAGGTTGTGGGCTTGCAGCCTCTGGGCCCTCGGGGTTACGAACCCACTCTGACCATCTGGCTTCTCCTTCAGGCAAGGCGTAGGCCGTCACTATGCCAGGACTTCATCCCCCTTTGGGCCATTGTCGCCCTGAGCATCCTGACCTGCTTCACGATGATCGTCGGCCTGATCGCTGTCTACATGCAGAGGAGATGGGCGGAAGCAGCCGACTCAGCCCCGAAGTTGGAAAAAAGTCCAAGAAAAAAGTTCTCTCCCTTGTTTTAGGAACGGCGAAAGCGCTCCCTCGGCGGCTCCGAAGGCCGGGGCGAAGCTTCTGAAACGGCGACTGCTCCGGGAGTCCGTCCGTTTCCGAGTCCGAACGCCTTAAGGCTCTGACCCCGTGTACATGACCCGTCGCGTTCGAAGCCGTGTTCCAGGCCGATCTGCATGAAAGTAAAGACTGCAGCGTTCGTGTTCAGGTGAAGGGAAGGCGACCTGTAGTTCCTACTTGTCCAGGCTCCACCAGCCCGCAGACCGCATCTGAGAGTCCGGAGGACCGCTGATGCGATCTGCTTACGTTTACATGCATAAATGAATGTACGAACAGTTTTCATAAGTAACGTCCTGGAGGCTCCGAAGAAGAGGAGTACTTCCAGGCTCTTGATGAGCAAGAGGGCAGCTGGGGCAGCTAGACTGAAAGGACTTGCAAAGCTTGCGAGGAAGGGGATGCCTATAGCGGCACCACCTTGCGAAGATGTGTAAAGAGATTTTCAGACTTCCTCGCTTGAGTCCACATCTAGCAAGAACAAAGTTGGTTCACAGACCCACCGCTCAGCGGCTTTGCATACCAACCATACCAACTTTCTCTGTGAAATTTTGCGGTGTCCTCGGATATGTCGGTTTCGGGACCCGGGCTCTCTCTGACTAAAGATGTGTTGTCATTGCCTGATATCTATCTAAATCTATCACTGCTTCAAGGACTTTTCCTGCCCACAGAGCCACAGTGCAGTGCAGGCCATTGCTTTATGCAAAAGCAAACGCAAGCACCGGTACGCCGGCACCAGACCCATGCAATGCAGTAGTCTTCATACCCAAGCATCTCCCATGGTCCTAGGCTATGCGGAAGGTTCGATTTTCCGATGCGGAGATGCCAGAGGCAGATTGGACCACAATTGTCCTTCTCATGCTGGTGACACTTGCTCATTGTCTAGATTCGGTGCAGGAGATCGGCTGTTCGAGATGCATGTGCAAGACTTAAACATGGCAGACTGTCAGGTGCAGGAGTATGACCCACGAGAGCTTCAGTTGGCTGCCGCGGAGAGCAGCCAACGCAACCAGAAACTCGAGGCTTCGACGCTTGCGACGTCTGTTAACATGCTTAGAGGCTTAGTGTCTGTGCATACATCACCCGCGTGTGTGTGTGTGTGTGTATGCATAAATTAAATAAATTTACATACGTACATACATACATACATGCATACATATATGTATGTGTAGGTATATGTTTATGCTTATGTTTATGTTTATGTTTATGTTTATGCATGCATGTACGTATGTATGTATGTATGTATGTATGTATGTATGTATGTACGTATGTATGTATGTATGTATGTATGTATGTACGTATGTACGTATGTATGTATGTATGTATGTATGTATACTCATACTTATTATGTATATGGGTGTCGCACTGTTCAGGCCAAAGTTGCCGAGCTGGAAGCAGCTTTAAAGAACGTGCAGGGCACGCTTTGCGTCGCAGAGGCAGGCAAAGGGTATCTAGAGCTCAAGGCCACCGCATCAAGGCACGCAGGCTTCCATCTGGTCTAGGGGTCCGAGTATCTGGCGGCGTTTCCAGCGGGTTATGACCTTTTGTTCATGATCCTTTCAGTGCTCCTGATTGGGTCGCGGAAGTCACAGAGGCACAGCAGTACTTGCACTCTTTTCGCTCGTGTTGGAACTCCTTGAAAACTCTTCATTGCCCGAATGCCTTGGAATGCGAAATAGAAGCTCCTCCAGCAATGGCCCGTTCAGCTCTCCAGGCCATGCTTTCGTCTGTTGGGCAAAGCTGACAAGCTTCGTCCTAAAGCTCTCGCCCTCCCCTAAAAAAGTATCAGCCAATTTCTCAAGTTTTGCCTTTTCACTGACTCAGACCGTCACTGTAAACACCGAGTAGAGCGACTTGAGACTTGATCCTCGTGAGCCCTCTGGCAAGGACCGCCTGGCAGAGGTTTCCAAGGAGCGCGATCAGCTTTCGCTCTCGGTAAGCGGTTACCCGGCCGTCTCTATAAATCTGCAGTTCATGACTGATAAGTGTTCAGCACACCCTGAACCTAACCATGCTCCGGAAATAGAGGGAAGGTTTGCGGTTTTTTTCTCTTTACGCTCAGGCCGTCTCGGTGCCCATTTGCACACGCTCTTTGCTGGGTCTCGTGCCAAGGTGCGCAGAGCTCCACGCTGCTGCAGCAAAGCCACTTCGCAAGGCCGGCTGTGCTCCTGTTGCTTTCTCTTCGAGTCGGGTGCCCTCGGCGAGCAGTTGCTAAAGGAGCTCTTCGGGGACGCGAAGATCGCTAGGAATCCTCGGCGATTGCGAGGATAGGGGCTGAGGGCTCAGGGCCGCTGTGAGATCAGATGTGGTGCACAGGAGAGCATGGGCGAGACGGCCGTGGAAAGAGGGGAAGTTGTGCATAAGCTGGAAGACCTGGAAGCTGGAAGTTTGGATGGCTTCGTCCGACATCAAGAGGTACTGGACGCAGAGTCCGTGAGATCGGCGGGACTCCCAGCATCTTCGAAACTGAATCGGAGAGTCTGTAGAAGATCCACGAATCGTCACAGGACCCCCGCTCCGAGTTTAGTCTCTGGGCTACAGAGACTGGCAGCCATCAAGGCGGCACTTCAGAGCGGCAGACTTACCTCCACCCTGTCCCGGCATCGATGATGCAGGGACCAGATTTCAAGATCACTTCTGTTCAGCCCAGGTCGGCCGGTTTGGACCAGCCAGATGACGACCTGCAGATCACACGCGTCTAGCTTCCGGGTGTGAGTTCGGGAAGCCGGAAGGCCAGAAAAGGCCTCGGGAAAAGGAGGCACTGCGAGTGCTTGGGTTCTGAGACGTTTTGACGGTTTGAAGCCTTTTCACGAAGGCGGTTGCATGTTCGATGCAATCCGAATGCGAGAGATGCCTCCTGCATCCTCGGGACGGTCTCCAGCACAAAGCCGAAGCCAAGAAGCAACAAAAAGCATCAAAGTTTCTGGAGCCCGTGGTAACTTGTAGCCCAGCAACCCGCACAAGGTCGGGATCTTTAAAGTCTTTGGCCCAGGAGTGGCTGAAGTTGTCACTGCATGGCAGGGAGCTCTCTTCGGTTCCTGTAAAGGCTGGCTGGCCAACCGTATTGGCAGATGCCCTGCATTTCACTCGGCTCACTTCGTGTGAGTGCCACCAGGAGTGATTCGTAGGCATTCTTGCGGCAAGTGGGGGCCACCGGCTCTGCGTAGACCTTTGCCAGGCAAGTTCTGGAGTGCGGCACTTTAGAGAGAATGTTGGCAAGAAGAAAAGTGCGCCGGAAAACAGAACCAGCTCACTGGGCCAGAGCATGATGCTGACTGGTCGAAGACTTAAGCAAGCACTCCAGTTGCCTTGCCTACGTGACATTGAACCTGCGAAGCAGGACTGCTGTACTTCCTAAGGAAGTTGCCCCGAAGTGAGATTTCGAGTAAGACAGTAAGACAAGCCTTGTTCTCTGCACGTGTAGAGTGTGCGCACCAGAACAAAAAACGCGTGAAGCCGCGGCAGGTGCCCGGAACAGCCAGTGCTGTTTTCCGCAGCTACGAAGAGCGGTTGGACGACACCCGGCTGGTGCAAACCCCTGAGGAGGACGAGGCACCACGGTTCAGCCGCTGGTTTGAGGACCGGATGCGCCTGACCCCTGCCCTCAGGAGCTGATCATCAAGGTGCCCTTTGTCTCTCCTGCCAAGGCGCCCAAACGTCTTCACACTTTCAACTCGTCTTTCAAGCGAGAGGGTTACCGACACTTGCGGGGACTGGCATTGGCATGTGGTGCTCCACGACTCACTGGACTCAGCAGCCATCTGTACAGCTCAAGTCGCACTCGCCACTCACAGCCATAGCGGCAACGATTTTCGGTCTCAGCGGCTGCTCCTGGCTCCTTGCAGCCCACCCCCCCACTTATGTTGAAAGAGGAACGGAAACAACAGCCCGGGATTGATAGGATACAGCATTGTATTTGCCGTCTGGGCAGAGCAGAGATCTAGGAGCCGCCTCGCTGCGCCGTGTGCAGCGCAAAGTATAGGCATCCTGTTTTCCCTGGGCCCTTGTACAGCTCATGCCACCCAGACGATGGGTGCGATCTTCGCCCAAGAGCGAGACAGGAGCGAGTGTGGCCACCAAAGCTGGCGATGCGAGCGTTCCGGCAGCGAGCCGTCCATCTGACGGCGTGAATGTCGTCCCGTAACCGCACTTGCTGGGGTCGTGAAATGGTTTAAGAGGTCCGGACATGCTGCCGCCGAGGTCTGGCACAAATGGTCGGACCTTCGCCTTCTCGACCACGAGCCGCTGTGGCATGCGCATGCCAAGCCTGGCCCCGCCATGACCCCGGAGACGGACACGCTCAGCTTTAGAGACGTTGTTCAGGTGCTGTGCAAGGCCATGCAAAGCTGTTCGATGATTGAAGTCCTCTTGACTCTACTCCGGCTCTCGTCAAGCCCTTTCGGATTGTGTCCCTGCATGCTCAATTATGCGACAGCGTGAGTTCGTTTGTAGTGCCAGTAGCGAGAGGTCCTCCACGTCCACCTTGTAGAGCTGCCGCTGCTCAGCGGACAGCCCTTTGCTCAGACCTGCGTAGCGGTGCTCCGTCCTCTCTCCGTTTCGCTGCGTCCATGTCTCCGCTGAAAGTTGTGCGGCGTGTGAGGATCCCAGGAGCCGGGTGGGGAAGGTGCCCCGCTGCTCTGCACGGCGAGCGGAGTTCTGGCGTCAAAGCGTGGAGGCCGAAGTGCGACAGGGCGTTGCAATCGTGCTTGAAAGACACCGGAGAGCCGCGGAGGCTCCATCTTGCCTTTGCAATATTTTGTGCCGGCGAAGCTCTGAATTTGAAAGGATCTGGCTATCCGACTAGAGGAACGAGGACAACAACTGGTCGCTTGGACCAGGAGGGTATTGAGCAGCTTTTCAGGCTGGACCTGTTCTGCAAGTGGGATCCAGTCGATGCTGACGCTGTCATCCTCTCTGTCTGCTTTATCGGGCAGGAGGTCCAGGCACAACAGCTAGGAAAGAAGTCAGCTTTCGGGAAGCTTGCCGGAAGGCTTTGTAAGCTGTGCGTGGACACTCAGTCTTTGCAGATGGGCCTGGAACCGGATTTTCGACAGCAGTGACAGGCCCCCCCACTTGCGAAGAAAAGCCTACATGCGGAGCCTCAGGTTGTCGAAGCTGTTGAGGATCCGAGCACCTTCTTCGCCGCGCTGTGCGATGCTTGTTTGGGAGCTTTGTAGGCGACCCCTCCAGGATCTCAGTCCCGCTTGACTCGTTGGTTGATCCAGGACTTTGAAGTGGAAGAGTAGAAGGTACTCTGTAGATGACGGATTTTCACGTGTAGGTGCTTCAATCCCCGCAACTGATGCCTTCCAGCCGCTGCAGCTTACCGTATTCCTTTGTGCTTGCAGTGCTTAGCTGCCCTCAAAACCCAGTAATTCCCAGAATTTATAGCCGCACGGCGGGACAAGGAACAGATTCCCGTTTCTGGCGTGTACGCCCACCGGGAGTTCTGCGAAGAGGAGCTCGAGACGGAGGCCAAGAGCTGTCCAGATAAGCTTCGACTGAGCTGCAGTGGGAGAGGGCGGAGCGCTGCAGAGGCAGCAGTGCGGCGAGCTCTCTCAGCTTGCGGTGCCGAGCTGCACACATTCTGGGGCGCTCTAACGGCAAGGGTCTTACCATGACTCGCCTCACTTTGTGGAGCTTAAATCGCCTTCGCTTAAACAGCGAAGGTGCACCACATCGACGACCTGGGCTTTGATGCACGCAGCAGGACCTGCATAGACATTGCCGGACACGGAGGAGAGATGGATCTATGAGGGTCTTTTGAGTCAGAAAGGAGTGAGATGCCCATGTACAAGGGCGAGTTCCAGCGGGCAGCCAAGCGGCGACCCATCCGGGAGGCAAGATGCTGGCCAGAGCTGTGGTGCTTCCTTGCGTCTAGGCAGGCGTTCTGTCGTCTCAGGTGCTGCCAATTCCAACGCTGCGCAAGCCACCGGAGAACTATCGATCGAGGAGCGACATCGAACCGGTGCGAAGCCTTGGATGCGCGATCTGGAGTTCTTAATACATCACGGCCAATCTCAAGTTGCCGGTGCAGAGTGCACAAACGTAGTGTATGGCGAGAGGAGAGTTCTGTGTCCATGGATTCGTCTAGAGGCCTTCGCTTCCGGTCTTCCCCAGCCGCCTCTGGAGGAGCCGAACTGCAGAGCCAAGTTCAGCTCATCCGGACACGAGGGTTGAAGATTGTTGAAGTTGTTTTGGTTTGCTGCAGGAGCGTCAGGTCTTTCGCTGGCAAGGCCGGTAGCTACAAGGATTTGAGGGCTCGAATGGGCGAAGCAAGCGCTTGTCCCGCGTGTCCAAGTTCAGGCGGTGAGACAGCTGGCCTGGAGCATTTGAGAAACTACATCGAGTGTGGGCCTTATTGCATGCACATGTCCGTGCATTTTCGAAACGTACACAGCACTGTGACCCCCGACATTTAATATGGCTCATTGAACCAGCCTGCGCTAGTGCAATGCCTTATGTCAGGAACACGCTGGAGTCACAATGGCGAATGCCATTTTGGCACAAGCTGATTGTGTCCCTGCACACGAATTTGCAAAACCCCTTTCCCATCGCTCGCCTTTGCTCGCCATGGCCGCACCAGCCACTCCCGCAATTGACGAGGAGGCAGAGATCGTCGAAAATGCTACCAGGGTCGATGTCGTTGCCAAATTGAGGAGATGCAAAAGACCCTATGAAATGGCCAGAGCTCAGCTGTATTAGGGCCGGATGGCGGCTTTTGTTGTTAAGGCTCCTTTACTCCCTCTTCCCATCCATCGAGTCAGGGAATCCGGGGTACTTGGATCCGCTATTCTTCTCACCCTGCTTGCTCTGGGAACCCCGCGTAACTGGAAAAAGACGCTGATGGCTCAGATCAATACGTGGCTAGGTTTCGTAATGGACCTGTCCCGATGGCCCTGTTGCTCATGCAGCTGCTGGAGGTCTTCACGCACAAGGAGATCGAGACAGGGCTGGGAAGACTCCAGTCGGCCACGACCTGTTGCCCGCTTACCAAATGCCAACCTCTCTGGGCCGAAGCGCCGCATCGCGGCCATGGAGAGGCGTCCTCATTGAAAAGAATGAGCAGGACGAGCGCCTGCCCATCATTCCCCTCCTCTCGGACAACCAGGGCAACATGTACTCTCTCCTCGACAGCAAATCCAGAAGGATGCCTTCGGCGGCCATTCTCATGGAGCTTATGCTCCTGTTGAACCGCAAGGGCTGCACCCTTGCGCCCTCTCACGTGAAGCGGGATTTCAACCAATGGGCTGACGAGCTTACGCACCCGGACTACCAGGGCTGCGCTCCGGATCGTCGTCTCAGTGTCAACCGTCTACTGAGAGAGGCTTTCACCTTCTTTCGTTAGTGCTGGAATCCCTTTTCCTTCTAGCTTTTGATACTCCCAAAACTATGGCCCGAGTGCGGCCAGGCCGAGAGTTTCCCCACTCGCTCGTTACGATGCGGGACCTTTCTCGCCAGGCACATCAGTGCCACACCGTTGGAGCCTTTAGTCCGCGGGGACCCTTTCGGATTGCCACCTTCACACTTCCACGCGCGGTGAAGAGAAGGAGGTGCGGGTGGCTACTTTCAGGTTCCGTTGTGCTCGTGTTTGCTGACATTGAATGTCGTTCGAAGATCACAAATCGTGAAAGTTTGTGGCCAAGTTCGGGACAACTTGCGAGTTACCGGGGAGCGACGGAGTCTTTCGCCCACGGCGAGGAGAATCCGGTGCCATGTCCCAAAGTTGTCCAACGAATGTTGGTCTCACCGGCCATACTTGAAGCCACCATGACCAACTTTTTCGTAGCTTCTCAATACAAAGCCTACTCTAGACTTTGTAAATTTGTAACTGTACGGACCGTAGCAAAAAGTAGGCATTGGTCGGCCAAGGTAAAGGCAGGCGTATGATGCGACACTTGTTCACGACAGTATCCTTCGAACGTATCGTGGATCATGCAGAGAGGGTGAGTGGTCGTATATTTGCAAGAACGCCTCGAGGTGAACTCTGGGACTCGACTGAGTCCATGGCTGGCCTTTGGCTGCCTCTCTGCACGCATGGTCATCAAAGAGGCCACTCTTCCGGGATGCCATGCGTTGCAGGGTTGTACAGCAGCCTTCAGCAGGTCTTGTCGTCTGCTCTGCTGGTGCCTTGAAACACATCAGACCCCAAAGCTTGTCTGGTTCTGGTTGCCTTCCACAAAACTCTCCTTGAGCCTCCCGGTACCCGCAGAAAGGCACGGGAGTACGAGCGAAGGCACGGCAAGACCAGCTCGGGCAAGGGCATTGGAAAGATCGGTGGCTTGGCAGAACCATTGCAGCAGTGAGCTGACGAACTCGGGCTCTCGAAGTTGCTGTGAAGAGTAGATGATAAGATCCTTCCTGCACGTGTTCTACTATTCGAGATAGTGATGTTCTTCCTTCTGCCAGTAGCAGTTCGTACTTCTCGGCGGGATGATGTCAGATCGGCGACCTGCTGCTTGCGGTGGCTGTCGGATGCGAAAAAACATCAGAGATCGGACAGGTTCCACGGGGACCCGGCTACACACGGAGCTCCTTTTTCGGGACTTCCTGCGCTTCTCTGCTCTGGCCTGGGGCACCTCGCTCTTCAAAATTGGAGGCCGAGCGCGCCTCGCATGAATGTATGCATGGGTCTGCGTGAGGGAAGAGAGCCGCCAGGGCCGTTTCACGTCCAGGGCCTCGAGTGGAGCCGAGACATGGAGCTGTTCCGAAAGTGGCGCGAAGGGCAAACAGGTTCGGTTTCTGCCCGGCCAGAGTCTTGAAGAGCTTTCCATTGGACCGATTCAGGTTTCCCCTTCGTGGACGCCGGCATGCGCGAGCTTGCCGCGACCTGTCGGAAAGGAGGTGCTTCGCACCCTCGCCAGGGCTGATGAGGTCGTTCTGCCACTCTGCCGCTGCAAGTCTTGTGCGGTTCCTGCTCTTTTTGGCCAAGGCCACTGGGTACATCTCACATCTCCATCGGCAGTGCTGTGCTGCCTTCTTGGCGTCCTGGCCAGTGAGAGGTTGAACGGATGCAGCAGAAGTGCAAAATGGATGTGTCCTACTCGGCGAGCGGGCATGTCACAGGTGCGAGACCTGCGCCTGGATTGGAGGATGGGCGCAGAGCATTTTGAGTCTGCTGCCTAGCTTGAAGATGTGTCGTTCAGGGCAAGTCGCTCTCGCCCCGACAGCAAAGACACTCCGTTGCAGGTCTTGTCTGCTGGATCACACTCCGGACGCCAACTGGGGCAACTGGGCCTACCGAATCCTGCAGCGACCCTGCTTGGTTGAAACCCGTGCCAAGCAACTTGGCGACAGTTTGCACGAAGCTGCACTTCATTCAACACCGAAGCTGTTGGCCTGAAATTCTCAGGTTTGAGACGGGCCCAATGGAATCCATGTTCAATCCGATTCAATCCATCTCCAGAAGGGGCACAGCAGTGTTTTTGTTTCCCAGCGGAGGTATCCGGTCGAGGAGCACATTACCACAGTCGAGGCAAGGCTGCGACCTCTGCTTCGCTTATAGAGCAGTCAGTGTTTTCGCCTGTGCGTCAGGTGGTTGCATGGCCGGCAGTCCACGATGCTCGACTAGAACACACATTGCGCTGGTGCCCCGCACCTCGGAGAAGAGTTTCACTGATGGTCGGTTCAGCTTCTCGTCATCGCTAGTATCGACGTTGTCGTTATCGCAGGCTAGCAGGTGATGTGTCACGGGCTCTGCCCTCTGCAGCCCGAACTACCAAGTATGCCTCTACGGTTTACGGATGTCGGCGAGCTGCGTCGCCATGGTCACGCCTGTCCTCAATCTCAGGAGCTCCGCAAGCTCCCCAAGGCCGGGCGCTCCGTCTCGGGGACGCTGTTCGGAAGCGTGGCGTGGACAGGGCCTGGCGGTGTGCCGTGTTGTTCGTCGTTGTCCCATCATGTCCAACAACATCGGATCGCGAGTCGTGTCAGGTGATAGGATCGGTAGATTCTGGCCAAGCTATCGGAACTGCTAGTCATTGCAGGATTTGGCCCGCGAGCCGTGGCTGACCGACACCGTGCCAGAAAAGCGGATTTCCATCAGGCCCTACAAGGAGAAGGGTTCTTGGAAACCAGCTCGGCTACTTGGATTTACCTGCACTTCAATCGCTGCGTCACAGGAAGCGGCACCAGCGAACACAGTTGCACATGCGAGCGTGCACACCGTGCCCCAACGTACGGACAATCACACTCAAGCTGCTCAAGAGGTCTGAGGTGGTATCATCTTCAATGGAGTCACGCACATTCCCTTGTTGACTTGATGCCCGGAAAACTTCGATCTAGGCTTCCTACACAGGCTGGTTCCCTGCATACATGGGAGAGACTGTAGCGTTAAGCCGCAAACAGGACTCACCTCTTTGGTTCTGTGCGGCCAACCGAACCAACTGGGACTACGAGTACTTCTGGCTTCCTGGGCATGCCTGGACAGTGAAGCCAGGCAAAAGCGAACCCAGCTCGCACAAAAATACCCTGCAGGATCCGGCAGTCTCTCCCTTTTGTTTCCGAGCAGAGAGTCTGCTGCCTCGTACGCAATCCGAGGAGGCGAAGCTGAGTGACTTCCACCTTGGCCGCGACTACCCGAGGCCGTGGCTCTGCAAACTCGACAGGAGTTCTTGAACTCTTTGCTTCCTGCCACTGTGAGCAGGCCCATCGTTCCTCCCTTGAACGTGGAGCTGGACCTGGATGCAGCCGGGTGGCAGACGGGAGATGCATAAGTGATGGGAAAGCTTGAGAACCTCGCAGTCCCTGGTGATGCGCCAAGAGAAGTGATCATGAACTTTACTGGACCGCCAGGCTGGCAAGTTACTAGCTCACACGCAAACGGCACGCCCTTTCTATGGATCTTAGGAGCACTGCAGGTGAGGAAGCCTGACCCTACAGAACATGGAATGTGCACAAGCGTCACGCTTCCCGTTGCAATCCCTCTCCCCCCCCAGCTTCGCCCCAAAACGGGACACTACAAGAAGTGCCAATTTGAGATGTTTGTTTGACAGTGTTGTTGTTGACCGGTCCATCCGGTTGGCCAGCTGAGATCTTGCCTGTGAAATTCCACAGCTGGGGAACTGAGCCAGCAGTGTGCCAACACATCTGGGGAGGCCTGCTCGGGTGGAGCACATAACTTGTCCGCGTGGAGTCCTGGTGGGGCGACACTGCTTGAGATGCTTGCATCAGGATCGAAACGGCCAGACGGGTCAACAACTGAGGACCAGTTTATGTTGCAATGGACGTGGGTTATTTGCTGAAGCCAGCACATGGACCGGAATGCCCTGGTCTCTTGCTTTCGGACAGGGCAAAGGCAAAAGTCACGGCAAAGTCGGTGGTAAAGGGAGCGGTAAGAGGCCCGGAGCCAAGTCGAATTCGTCCGCAGCCCTCTCCGTGCGCTTCACTGTGGTTTGGTTGTCTGAGGTCAGGAAAGGGCCAGGGCAGTCAAGGACACGTCGAGGGATGGCCTCCATCCGAGCCGTCTGCCCAGAGACGCAAGCGCTACTACTGCTCTGCGATTGGAAGCTTTGAACCCATGATGACCCATGCAGAGCAACCTGCTAGTGGTCTCTACTCCCCAGGTCCCTCCGTGAGTGCTGCAACCCTTGGCAAAAGAGACGGCATCAAGCCGACTGGCAAGAGTAAAAGCGCCGTGCATCTATCTCCAGGGGCTCGTGGCGCAGGGCTGCGCTATGAGAAGACAAGTGGCAGCGACAATGTAAGTACCTTGCAATCCGCAATAAGGGGAAGGCTTGAGGCCTCTTGTGCAACATCATGTTCGGTGTACCAAACAATAGTTGCGGGGATTTCTTCTCGTTCGATCCTGACCGAATCTAGATCACACATGGTTTCCTCAGGATATCTCAGGATCCCAGGAGAGCTTCAGATTCCGCATTCATCTTCGGAAGCGACAACTTGCGTTTGATGCTCTGGAAAACTCTGTGGCCTGTGCCAGATCACCAGCATCACAGTGATCGGCGGAGATGGCGGATCGGCACCCAGCAGCGTCAAGCCCGGGCCTCAGAGCTTTTCAGGTGCCGGCCAAACATGCAAGGCATGCTCCGGAGAGTTGCCCCCAAACTGGCTCCACCGCTACACGTCACCGACACTTGCGTGTGACGTAGGGACTTTGGAGCTTCGAGTCTAAGCCTATTGGCCAAGCCGAAGCTCTATGACTCTATGATGCGTCCAAGAGACTCGCGATCTCAGCGCTCATGGTGAGGGGGGAAATGAGATTTCAATTTAGTCATTGCCAGGAATTGAGCCCCAGGTCATTTTCAATTCAGCCTGCGGAGCTCCGAAATGTAAAGGGCAGGATTTTCAATAGTTTTTTCAAGCATTCAATGCTTTTGAAATGAAGTAACAGTGCTGCTTGTTTGTCGAGGTTTCCCAAACGTCTTTCTCAGGAGCTCCTTGGGTCCCAAAGCCCCCGTGCTTCTGTACGAAGCCCGAGGCTGTACATCAACCGTGAAGATTTGGACTTCACATCAGTTGGTGATATTGAGCCAACGCAGGCACCGTCTGTTTGCATTCGCCCCAGGTTTTCACATGTTCGGGCCTTCAGGAGGTGCAGCTTGTGGAGGACTTTCACGGGGCTGTGCCGGACTTGTCTTGCTCGCGGCAGTGGCGGGCGAGTTGTTGTGCATGTGCACATAGTGGGACCTTGAGCTTCGACCGAGATTCAGTTCCCGCTGCGCGCTGCAAAGTTTCTGTCCTGCGCTTACTGCGGCAAAGACACTGCGGTATCTCGATGCAAGACCCTGGCCCACATGCTATGTTGAGGATCCTGTGCAGCGCGTGTTCATATTAGGTCTGTCACAAACGTCAGCCTCTACTTTCCGCACAGCCTCCGTCTCGGCCGGCGACCCGCATTGTTCCTTCCTTCCTCGAACGTTTGGGAGGTTTCGGAGGCGAGCGTACGCGGATCCACTGGATTGGCCTTTGGGGCGTCGGATCCGAGCACAAGCGGCAGGTAGCAGCAGGGTGTGCTCAGTACTTGCAGGAGCAGGGCAAACGTTAACTTGTCTATGCCAGTTCCGGCAGGCTGTGATGACGGTCTACGAGGCTCGCGGGCATTTGGAGGTTTGCTGCCAGCCGGTTTGTTATGCAGGCCATTGGCAACGCCAAGGACAACGACGTGAAGGACGATGCTCGAGACCCAGGAACTCTTCTCCCTTTGGAGTGCCAGCAAGGGTTAGCCGGGTCTTGGATGAGACAGCTGTGGAGCTATGTCATCTATCCAATCGGCTGTGAGGAGAAAAGATTTCTTGGTTTCCCTGGTGTATACAATCCGCCCCCCCGATAAGTAAAGACCATCCTAAATAAGAAAAGCCCTTCGGGGAGGGCATTTCTTGCCGGAATGCGCCCCAAGAGGAGTTTAAAAGGGCCAAGAGGAGATTTGATTCGGGGATATTGGGGAGACAGTGGAGATCCTTCAAAAGTGAAGAGCATAGGGCACTTCGTCCGGCAAAGCTGTCGTAGCTGCCTTCCTTGCTTTCTCTTCCGCGGGACCTCCTCTGCTTTGCTTTTGGCTTTCGGCCAATGATGCTAGAACGAAGCGAGACTGGCTCCGACCTTTTCCTTGGCCTTCTCTGCCTGATCCGCGGTCTTCCGGCTTTGGCCCTGCAACACACAAGCAACAGCAGTGCATGATGACAAATTAAGCAATGAATGATCTCACTGTATGCCCCAGTGCCTTTTTGTGCCAGCTTGTCTGCAAGGACTTGCTGCAGCAGTAAGGTCTGCTGCTGCAGCAAGCCCAGAAGTATCGTCTCTCTGTCTTTGCGAAGGACAAAGACTACTTTGCTCTAATGAATGAGTAGCGAGCCACGCCAGTGCCTGCGCTGTGTCGGACTCCAGGGGGGGGCTTGTCTGTGTGTCTGTCTAGTGAGCTGCTTTTACATGAAGTATGCAATTAATTGGCAGCTGCTTCCTCGAACCCAATGGAGGAGTCTATGCATTAGTAGAGCTTAGTTGGATAATTAGGTATTTATTTTCCTTCATGGTTTCATTCTGTACGACAGCGAGTCCTATGCACCTTGAACCAAAGAGGCTGCATGGAAGGCATGCTTAATGGGCCTAGTTATGCAGGACATGAGTGAAGATGCGAAAACTTACCCCTAATGTTACCTATTTCAAGGGAAGTGCCATTTTAACATTGAGGGGGCGGGGGAGAATCGGGGGAACGGAGTATTCCCTCCCTCGAGCACCTTATTTTCATTTCATGGGCACCCACCTGACGTCTTGGCACGGATGCTTGAGGAATACCAGGAGCAGAAGCCACACCATCACGGATGGGCTTGATACTGGCTCACATCTCCAGCCTTTCCTAGTTTTTGTCCCAAGTAGGACGGATGTTGCCAGACATTTTTCGGCAACCTCGTTGGGAATGTGATCGCAAAAAAGTAGATCGACTTTCTCGATGCTGTAGTCCCTGAGGACAGCCGGAAGGCAGTGCAGTGTGATGGTTGTCCTAGCAGCTCTAGCTGGTTCCGGTGGCTGCGCACGATCTCAGGTCCTGCCAACAATGGATGCTGCGTGAACGGTGAAGGGCTGTCAAAAGTATGGCACAGAGACCCAAGAGCCGCAGCAGTGCAAAACACAAAGGCTGCAGCAGTACGCGAGAGAAGCCGTTACCTGGACCACGGCTGGGGTAAGACTTGCGAGTGCCGTGATCCTCAATCCAAGACGGTCTTGCAAGCAACGCATGTAGCCTAGCCGAAGAGACCATAACCGTCCCCAAAGAACGTTGCACGCGCACAAACGCAAGCTTGTTCGCAGGGCTCGGGAAGTGTTCTACAGGTTCAAGCGGGGCCCCCCAAACTTTAGAAGATCACCTTTTGCGAAGCTCGAAGTCCAGTTCTTCCTGCAGGTTGGACGGCAACGAAGAAAGTGAAGCCACGACTCCACCTATCATTGCAGGGATGTAGTTTCCTTTCGATCTCGAATGTTTCCTCGTGTGTCTGGTTGCTACACGACCTGCCGTCATGTCTCCTCAGTTGTGAGCCCTCGGTTAAGAAGCCAGCAAAGGGAGTTAGCGCTTGCTGACATCCTCGAGTCACCACAAGCTCGAACCCCAATATCAGCCCTAAACCCTAAACCCCAAATATCAGTACATGACGTGTATGTAACGATAGAAGCAGCGCAGCATGGAGCTGACATCTGGAGCCCCTCACAGGTCCGCTGGTGTTTCCGCTGTCCGGGCATGGGTTCATATGGTTTCAGCTTCAGGTCCAAGGAGGCTCTAGCTTTTTGCTTCTGTCGCCGTTAAACGCACTCCAGACCGTGTAGTGAAACTCAATAAGAGCATTTGAGCGTGGAGCCTGCGCGGCGGTTTTTGTGGGGTAGATCTCGGCACAAAGCGAATGCATAGCCAGACTTAGTCGGAAGACATCCTTAACAAAACATTGCCAGTGTTCCTTGAAGGGGTGCTGTTCGCGTCATCAGTATCTGCTGGCATTCAATGCATTCCGGAGCTTATGAATCATTGATCTTTGGCTGATCATGCTGGTAGCCCAGGGTTTGGTAGCCTGGATAAGTATGCGAAGCCCGCAGCCGAGATCCCAGCACACATTCACTCGCTAGACCCTGGCTTTGCAACCCTGGCCCTGCAGTTTGTAAAGTTGACGATTTGCCGGGAGCAGGCACCGGAGCCAGCGAGAAATCCAACAGAGCCCGCAACACATCAAGTCGGTGCCAACCAAAGCCAAACCAGGTTGGGCAGCCGGCTGACTTGGAAGTGTCAGAGGTGTATTGACGGCGACAGCTGCGAGGGTAACTGCTTTGGAAGGCTGGGTATCTGGGGAGCCACGCAGAACCACTCTCTACACCGTGTTGCAACCAATGGCATGTGCCACCACCTTGGACCCTGAGTTTGCCATCCATCTGCTTCACTTGGATGTGCTGTTGTGCAGGGCAGGGTTGCTTCAGCTTACATGTGAATGCCTATGTTACTACCTTCCTCGTCGTAGCAAAGTAGCAGAGGAGTGCACTTGGTCAAGCCTTCAGTCACGCTCCGCGGAAGATGGTTTCAGTACGGATACTCTCTGACTCTCCCAAGCCGCGACCAGGCCAGAAGCAGCTTCAATGCTTGAGCGCGCAGCTCCTCTTAGGAGCTTTGCATGTATCTGCGATGTGAATTTTCAGTTCATATACCTGACGTGAAGACTTGTTCGCGAACATCATAGCAATCAGAGACGGCAAGTATCCGGGACGTAGCTTGGGCAGAGCCAGACACAAGGCCGACACGTTAGTGTTGGCCGAGAATGACTGCGTAGTCCTCTGTACGAAGGAGCATCGCAGTTGATGAAGCTAGCTGGCTTTGAAGGTACTCTTTCCAAGTCGTGTTGGTCCAATTATCAGGTCGGGTCCTCCAGATATTCTCGTGGTGTGTTTGTTCTCTTACCAAATGCAAAGGACTGTGCTTCTACGAGTCTTTACATCACGAACGACACGAGCATGGCCGAGCAACCACATCCCACGCCGACACAGGTCGTCGAACTGGAAGCCTTCACGAAATTCGAAACATAAATCTACCTCTGTGAAGATTTCAGCATGCCTTCGGCTTTGGGCTTCCGAGCATGCCTCCATTCATTTACCTTCCAAGCTGTGAAACCTGCATCTGGGCCGTTTCTGAGCTCCGGCAAGATACTTTGACGTGTTCATTGAGCGAGACATATGGGTTGATTTGCCAAAACGTGTTTGCTGTTTCTTTTAACATATTCTCTCTGCAAAGCTGTTGTCATTTCTTCCTTCCTTTCTTCCTTCGTCTTGCAAGATCAGCAGGCTAAGGACTCTACAGAAGATTGCTCGAAAAGGAAACCCTGTGCAACTCACTTTACGCAACTCTGTAGGAGTCCTGCATGGGATCCTTGGCCAAGAAGTGTCGAAACTTGCCCTGGCCGGATGCCGCAACGAGGCAGCAGAAGCTAGAATCCTTCGCAGGTCTGGGTGCTCATGGTTGTGACAACCATTTCTTCCATCGAGATGATTTTCTGAGGTGGCTCTCCTGCAGAAAGCTCTCCATGCAAAGGAGGCTCCAAACATTGCAGCTTACACCTCAGCCTGGCACCTAGAGCATTCCCGACACGGTTGCCTTTGTGATGCAGTAGGTAGGTTGGAAGGACGTGGGTATGGCGGTCAGGAGGTTGTAGGTATGGCAGTCAGGAGGTAAGGAGGTAGGGAAGTAGGCAGGTTGGCAGATGTTCGGCAGGTAATTAGTTGGTGTTAGGTAGGTAGGTGTGCAAGCGTGTAAGTTTGTGCATCATCTGCGCGTGGTGCATGCAAGCAAAGGTGAAACAGTGAATGTGTCGAGCCATGTACATACGATATGTATATGTCTGTGGGCACATGCAGATACGTAGGTACACACGTACGGTTTATGTACGTGCCAGGTTGGGCCCCGATGGTGTTGACCGTTTAAAGTTGTGCAAACGGGTGAGGGGACGCTGCTGATTGAGGACGAAGACACTGGAGTAGCGTAAGACTTGAGCTTGCACTGTACTGGCGAAATCTTGGAATAGCAGGTTGTTGTGGGTGCAGGGTCGCTGGGTTGAAACGGTCGCGGACCGCCGCATCCTCTTCCAGAGCAATGCTGTCGTTGTGGTTCCATGCCTGGTGGCAGGGAGTCGATAGTTCGTTTGCTCGTAGCTAAAGCTCTCAGGATTGCTTGCTTTTGAGGTCATCGCTGCCTGTGGAAAACGATCAAACTGGTCAATGGCCGTTGGTCTCTTGCAAGATGCCCGCAGTAACTTGCCGGATGTGGGTGAGCTTGAGCACAGCACTGTTGAAGCTGGCTTTTATTGGGGCTTCCCCCGCCTTAGTCAACTCAGGTCGGCAGTTGCGCCCCGACGTGCCTGCGCTGAACTCTGCGCTGACAGCCTTGGGCCGTGCAGGTCGCTGGCGCGAGGCAGGGGCAGGGCAGTCGCTTCATGTTCCGTTTTGTCTCAGTGCATGCGACATGCCCAAGACTTGAACTTGTCTCGCGAAGTGCCCAACAAACCTCGGGGAAGCGAATTCGAAGATCAGCGCTTCAGGCCACGGTGTACCTGGACTTGGCAAAATCGTGGTGCCGCCAGGGTCAGGGTACATGCAGGGCTTCGAATGTGAGACTCTCGGCTTCCTGAGCCGCGAGGGGACAAGCCTTCTGGATTCTGGTCAGATGGAGCTCCTTACTGGGGCGTCGGGCCGCACGCAGCATTACATTATTTTGTTACTGTTGGTCGCGCTCATGTTTGCTTGGGACCGGTGATGTTGCTGGATCTCCACTCATGTTCACCGGCATTTAGAACCAGGCGTGCAAGCCTG